TCCAATTTTTCTACAATTATAACAGAATTAAGAGATCTTTCATATTGAAGCATGACCCACTGCTGTTCCCCAGTTGGTTTGGTAATTAGAGATACCAAGTGCTAGCGGTTAGGAGAGACTTTGTCCACTTTAATTCGAATAAAATCATATAATCTTTCTTATTCTTCTGTTGTTTTAACCTCTAATGGCTTCCTATCTTTTGTGTTATTTGAAAAGCACTTATTGTTATTTAGCATGTCAAAGTGGAGAACTAACCCACAAAGTTGCAGTAGAGAAATCCAAGTCTTCAAAAGTCTGAGTTTGGCGGAAATGGTTTTAGAATTATTCCTGTATTCCTTTAGATAATATGTGCTCCTTGTAGGATTTATGGTTAAAAATGAAGAACATTGAAAGGTCAACAAATGAGAGGCTCTACAGGAGAGGGGAAAACCTCAACTTAGAGATACATAGAATTGATACCTCAGAAAATGAGGAAAAATATGGAATTTGATCAAGACTGATGCATGTGCGCGCTTAGATCTTATTTGGTGCAGACAATTAATATGTAATATATATTGGATGTATCCTAAAAGTGCTGCAGTATACTAAAATCATTAAAATAAGTGTTATGATAACCAACAAAAAGACATTTGCCATCTCATCTTAGTAATTACTTTGATTTTTAATTCTTAAATTATTTTTAAATTTAAAGAATATTAATTTTTAAATTTTAATAAAATATTAATTAAACGATTTTAATAAAATATTTTTTTATTAAAAATGGTCGGATAATCATAATAAATAAAACATTGATTGCACCTTTTCAAATTATGCAATGTTTATACATAAATCTAACTTGTATCTACAAACCTTAAAATTTGATACCATTTCAAAATATTAATTTTATTGTTCTGCCTATGACTAGCAATTTAGTTACTCATGAGCCTCATTTTTTAATCATTAGTTGGTTGGTACACATGATTAGGAATGGTAACCGAACAGGAGCTAGAGTCGAACTTCGACTCTTTTTTATGAGTAAATTCAAATCCACTCCAAATTCAAAACGAGTTTAATATAAAATAGAACACAGCCGTTCATGTAGTCACATAACAGCAATTGCTCCATAAGATATTTTATTGATTTCAATTTTTAATGAGTTTTTTCCTTTTGTTTTTTGGTTGAAGCTCAAGGAGGATGAACCCGATTTAAAGTAGGGTTTTCGAACCAAACAAAGTTTGTGTAAAATACAAAATAGAAATATTGTTGGATGAAAATAACTAACATTGACCCAAAAAATATATGAATTTCATTTGGGAACCCACAATCTTATGTATAAATAAATAACATTATCAATTAACATAAATCACGGTAATAAGAAAGGATTAGAGAAAAGTGATCTTTTATTCTGGGGCAAAAACATTTCCACTGATGAACTCAATCACTTACAGTTATGTATAATATTCTTTGAGAGGGAAAAATTTTTAGAAAATAAGGAGGGTTGGAGGGAAAGGGTATTCAAATTACATTCTCTTTAGCAAAGAGGAACAAAAAATGATCAGGAAATGCCAATTCCAACTGGCATGGGTTGGAATGGATGCCATTTTCAAGGGAACCCTTTTAGAGCTTACACATTTAAACTTAGCTTGGTTCTGGTGGCAACACTTTCAAACTCCGCATCCATTCGCAGAAACTAGGTTCGTCAAAGTGTATAAAACTGCTTTTTAGCTTGGTTCTTGCTCTGTTGTCAAGGTCCGAAGCTGTGGGAACCTTGCCTCCTGCAAAGAAGTTTCACACCATTTAGTTACCAGCTATTCTGCTCAGAATCAGCCCAGTTTTCGCACTCAAGATAGTTTACCTGTTCATAAGGAGGATCTTTGTGTGCTGGTATCAGTCTAGAAACAAAATACCTAGCCAGGGAGCTCCCTTCCTGTAACAGATCCAGATCATTACGCTCTTTTATGATAAATGCCAACAATGCACATGCACAAAGATAGGGCGAGAAATTGAAAAAAGAAATTAAAAAGTCAAAGGAAAAAGGAGATAAGAAGATGCATGAGAACAACAAAAAAACATTCAACCCCAAATGAGAACTATTTACGGGTGAGCCAACCTTGAATGATAGGATTCGAGGCGCTGGAAACCGAAATTCAGTGAGCTCTTCAGCCAATGTTCTACAAGCAGCTAAAGCTGCAGCACTTCTTCCTTCGTCAGCTGCAAGTTCTGCACCCTGAAGCCACCAGTATACATGTATGTATGAAATTCACAGAAAATTGTAAGGAAAATGAATGTTTAATACAAGATTAATAACGACCATAATTACACAACAAAAGAATTGAAGAAAAACATGAAAATGCCTTCAGAAGGAAGTGCCTCAAGAATCCATTAAGGTCCCACCATAATACTGTAGACATATTTAGACATGTCCCCAGTAGAAGGTAAGAATCTTAATTCTTCATCCCTTCATTTAATGGCAGGCTCAGAACACCATCCTATAATGATAAATGTCTATGCCGTCTCAGTATATTCAGGAGCAGGAAATCAGTTCTGAAATTTTAATCAGCCAATTTTGGTGATCATCAGCCTCTAAGAGTGCCAGAAAACAATAAAATGACTTCAATCAGCCAACAACAGTTCCTGAATCCTGGGTTCCTATTTGCCCATATAAATTGGCTCAACCCAAACAACAAAAAGCATTGCCCAAAGCACACATACACTTACACAGCCACACAGTTTAAAGATTATGCGGGCCCCAATAAAAAGCTTAGTGGATTGAGAAAACAAAAGTATATACAAACATCTCCAGACTAATTTTTTTTTTTTTTGAATAAAAACAAAATATCCCCAGATTATATAAAAGAAAAGAAATGAGCTCAGAAACATACCAGCCAAATGAAGACATCTGTGCCATGGTCAAGAACAACTGCTGTATCAGACTGCATCGCAAGGTCGTAAGCTGGTAGTTCCTCAAAAGTTCCCCCTTCCCGGTGCATTAAACAACGAGGAGCTATCATTTGAAGTGATAAATCAAAAGATGCATTTAAGAATAAATTCCGCAACACAGACCTCTCATCTTCATGGCCAATAATGCTTCCCAGCAGTGGGCCCCTCCTTAGATGGAATAGGAGCTCTGGCAAGGGGGAAAGTTCCTTAGGGAAGCGAAAAAGCTTTGACTTGGGTACTGGGTTTCCAAATTTTTTGGCAATGTCTTTAATCCTTTCATCTATTGTCCTTTGCATATCTATCAAATCTGAATAATTCTGAGCCCGCAAGAGGGTCCTTTTGGCAATAAGGACCGCAGCCACTTCATCTTGAACACTCTGAAGATATGTTGAAACACTATCAACAGTTGGCAGTCGGATAGTAATTACTCTAGATATATCAGCTTGATAAACATTTGAATATTGAAATGCAAACTGGAAGTAAACATGATCACTCTTGATGTCTCTCCTGTTTTCCATTGATAGCGAGAAGCTCCGTGCTTCTTCCACACTTAGCATTTCTATGGAGAGAGCTGTGTCATTTTTGAAGGTTTCAAGAGTGTCTATATGTGCCTCTTCGCCAGGACCCACAACTTGAGTGACAAGGATATCATCAGAACAGCGTACTTCTAACAAACCATTGGAACCTGCTGCTCTGGCAGATGCCCTTTGCAAGTTCACACCAAAGGCTTCTCCAAAGTCATCATGGAGAAGTAAAACACCACCAGAAGCTTTTGCAAGAGGTTGTAGAATAGGAACCCTAACAGGACAAGTTCCAGCACATAAAATGTCAACCACTGTATTGTTTCGATAAGCCTCACGTCCTAGATGCTCCATCCATTTTACCGCTGTCTTTTCCATATGCGGATAATTAGGATGACTAAAAGAATGGGGTACTGATCCAGGGCCAAAAGTATTTGGACCACCGGCACATACAAGAATTCTGCTGCTACCTCCTGCCCTTTTAACTACACCTCGAGACATCTCTGCTGATGGCCCTTGAATCATAGCTAAAGCAACCTCCACTGCTGCACCCAAGGACCGGTCCCTTGATGCTTCTGAAATGTTCAATTTGTAAGGTCTCAATGATGAGAAAATCTCATGTGCTACTTTTTCTGAAGCATGCATAGGTGACAAGTATACGCCACTTCCATAAACCAATGCTTTAAGGGACTCCTTAGTGGGTGATTTGTCACCAGGAAGCACATCAGCAGATGCTACTGATTCCTCTGAGAAATCATAAACTGATATTGTACAGCCATACAATATAATTCCCAGCCTCGTCGTTTGGGGAAGTGAATCAACAAACGCATGCAAAGAGCTCTGTAAATGCTGGAGGTGGGGCTCATCTAAACATTCATCTATAACAAGAAAAATAGTTGTAGGCACTCTAGAGTCGGAAGCTGGAACAAAACCAGGCCTCTTATTCCCAGTTTGAACATAATCAACCAAGGGTGATGAGAGTTCAGGAAAATTACAAACATCTTCCTTGCTGGAGCGACATATTCACTTCACTTCCATTCAGTTTCCGGCAGATACACACTGCCACTGACCAGACGATCATAGTGCATAGAGATTTGAAAAGCCCC